GGAATAAAAACAAATGTTCCATAATATGCCCCACCTCAAACTTCACCATCCTTAAGAATACAACAAGTATACATAGGTTAGAAAACAAAAATTTAACAGAATGATACTAAATGAAGCCCATCTCCCTTCACAAGTACCTCCAAAGAGAAAAAACTGCAGCTAGTCCTAGATATATAAAAATTTAAAGGCATCACATTATATATATTAAGAGCTTTCTAGCACAGGTTGGAGACTTTGAACTTTGTCCTAACTGGTATGTTCAGAGGCAATCACAGGCAATGCATAGGTTGGTGTATACAATTATGAAAAATAATGCATGAAATGGGGGTGTGCCTTAGTATATGTGTGTGGTCAGTGAACTTTATGGAGTTGGTTCTTTCCTTCTATCTTTATACGAGGATTGAAATCAAGGTGTTATCTTGTATTGTTGGGTCATCTCACCTAGCCTGTCACTTTTTAAATTTTTTGTTTTGTTTTCTTCAAGACAGGGTTTCTCTGTGTAGCTCTGACTGTCCTAGAAATCGCTATGTAGACTAGGCTGGCCTTGAACTTGGAGATATGCCTGCTTCTGCCACCTAAATTCTGGGATTAAAGTCGTGTACCACCACCTGGCTAAATATTTTATTTTTAAAGTTTTAATTGTTGGGGCTGGAGAGATGGCACAGCAGTTAAGAGCACTGGCTGCTCTTCTGGAGGTCCTGAGTTCAATTCCTGCAACTACATGGCTCACAGCCATCTATACTGAGATCTGATGCCATCTCCTGGCATGCAGGCATACATGAAGTAGAGCACTCATATAAGTAAATATACCTTTTAAAAAGCTTTAATTGTTAACTCTCTCTCTCTCTCTCCGTGTGTGTGTGTGTGTGTGTGTGTGTGTGTGTGTGTGTGTGTGTATTCACAGAGGTCTGACCTGATCCCCTGATCCTCAGGAGCTAGAGTGGCTAGAGTGACAGGCAGCTGTGAGTCACCAACATGGAAGCAAACTCAGGTCCTCTGGAAGAACAGTATGCACTCTTGACCACTGAACCATAGTTAGTCCCAAAGATGTGAGGAGAAAGACCACAGGCTCAAATCATCATAGCCAAATTAATTAATGCAAGTTTCTTTATTCATATACATAGGTTGTCTCCCCCTAAGACAGAGTTGGAGAGTTCAGCATTATATGTAAGGAGGACTTTTGACAGCTCAGGGGTAGGGGACTTCCAATGTGGGGTTTGGTGGGCAAAACAGGTGGGGTTACAAGAGCAGACCATCATAACAAGTTAGTCCTAATGACCTCCTGAAACAAAGATAGGGCCGTAACAACAGATAGTCATAATAAGGTAGCCATAACAACCCTTTTGAAACAAAGGTAGGGATGCAAGATAATTGGTTATTAACTTTTTGAAACAAAGGCACAATTTCTGTTCCTGGAACAGGCAGTATACAGAACCACTTACAGTTACAGGTGGGGCATAGCCCAATCCTATTTTGCTCCTCCCATCTCTGGGATCATTTCCTTGTCCTAATCCACTTCAGTAACCCATGGAAAGTCTGCACCATGAGTATGCCATAGCTCTGTACTGTTAGACTCAGCGTTTGTTTTCAATTGTTTTGAAATCACCAACAATGCTATAATGACCATCCTTGAACTTCTGCAACCATAGGATTTAATTCTAGAAGTGAAATAAAGGCTACGAGCATTTAAATTTTTTCTGACAAACTAACTGGAAGTGCAGAATCTACTTCATAAGGCCCTCCTTCCTCATCTTCAGCCCTGGGTGTCCTGATGGGCATGCTAGAAACTTACCCTTCTATAAACCCAAGGACTACTAACTCCCTCCCTCTGGCTCTCAATCCTGCTGCCACCTGCCCTGAAAAGTAACTCTGAAGTCTGGAGTCTGTTTTCTCTTCCTGGGTCAGGCCAGACTTGCCTACCAAGGTGCAAACATAGAGTTGACAACCTGAATGAAAATGCTGTCTACATACATAACAACTATGGAGTTGCAAAACATTCTCCTAGATGGCCTTTGGGTCCTAGTCCCTTTTGTCTTCACATCTAGAATCTTCTAATACGAGAGTCAAAAAGAGCCTCAGGATAAATCTCCTGCAAGCTTGCCTTCTTGTCACTGCATGAATAAAATGACTAAGGCTAAGAAAGGAGACAAAAAAACAGAAGTAAATTAGCTCAAAGTCCCAGTGCCAGGAAACCACTAGGCTTCTTTTTTGTTTGTTTGTTTGTTTCTCCTTTTGAGACAGGGCCTTACATAGGCCACACTGGCCTCAGACTGGGAATGTGACTGAGGATAAACTTGAACCTCTGACCTTCCTGCCTCTGCCTCTGTGCTAGGGTTACATTACAAGCTTGCACCACCACTCTTGGTTTTATGTGCTGCTGGAGACCACAAGTCCAGGACTCTGTGCATGCTAGGCAAGTAGTCACCTGAGCTACATTTCTAAACCTTATCTTTTTTCCTTTTTCTTTTCTTTTGAGGCAGGATCTCCTGCAGCTGAGGCTGATCCTCAATTCCTGTTCCTCCTGCCTCCACTTCTCAAGTGCTCTGACTACAGGTGTGTGTTACCAGGTCTGGCTCAGAGCCTCTTTCCTTCCAACCCTTATTGATTTACTCTTCAGCCTCACAAAAAGTGCCTGGGCTTTGCTGGTGACTTCTCTCAACTGTTTATATAGAAGGCCAGCAGCTAAGTCCACTACTTATCCATGCTTACTCCACTTGCTAAGGGCCCTCACATCTCTCTGACCTTTTGTGGGTAACAGCACAGCCTCCAGGCCAGCAGCTCAGCTAGGACACCTGCACATGTTGGCACTCCAGGCATGTATACAGAATGGCCTGGCTACCTGCAACCCACACCCAGATGCTTGCTGACTAGTCACAAGCTGATTGTCCTCAAGGGAACCAGGAAAAACCTGGTTCGCATGAATGATCGACCCAGCAAGGAGCTGAGAGTGATTGCTCCAAGTGAATTAGATTCCACTATAAAGGGGCGCTGGGAAGTTCAGTACCCCAGGGAAGAAACTGGAAGGAGGAATGTTGGGAAGGGTGGAGTGGCCACCACATAAACTAGGGCCCACCCCGATTACCACAGGCAAAGCTAGGTTTAGCCAGCTGCCAACCTTCAGGATGAGGACATGAGGACCCTCACATACAAAAAGGGGCTGTAGTTCCAAGGGCCTTTGCCATGTTGGTGTCTCAACAACCTCAATAACTCAAGCTATTTGGTGACCCAAAGGCTATGACATAGAGCAGAGGAGGTGCCAGACAGGAAACACACACTGGTAAGTACTTCCACGTGTCAAGCTCTGAGCCAAGTTGCTGTCAAACTATGTCAACTGTCCTCCCCTTCCACACCTGGGGGTTGGGCAGAAGGACTCATCCCTATTTCGAAACAAGAAAAGCAGGCTCTTAGGAGTCGAGTAAGGGGTTGGCCTCCACAGTTTAGTGCCCTCTGGCTGCCTCACTGGGGCTCCAACCCCAGCTAGAGTAAGAGCGGGCGAGGCCTGCTCCAGACATAGCCTGTCTTCCCTCCCAAGGGCCCAGGCTAAAAAAGCCTGGGTGGGTGGAGCCACCACCCAGCAGCCAGCCCTTTCCTCACACCCCCACACATGCGTGGGCTGGGAGGAAATGGTGGAGTTGCCATTCCCTTGTGCTCTGAGGCTGCCCATCTGTTTCCTGGGATAGGACTCCCCACCCCCATCCTCCTACCCGGAAATTCTCTTGCTCTAGGGCTATGGGAAAAGGAACTATGAGTTCTTCTCTCCCCTGGGGCTGGAGGGGGTGGGGTGGGGTGTGGGGGGGGTGAACCTGTCAGAACCCCTTTCCAGGACTCCTGCCCTCCAGACTCTTAGAGCTATTCAGCTCCTACCAACAGCCCTGGGCTCATGAAGCAGACAGCAGCCATAAGATTCTCCCTCTTCCTGACTGTGGCATGGTTGGCATCTTCTTCACTTATTTCAGCCTAGGAGGGGAGGGACTTACACAGAGGAGGTAACATTCTGGGTAGAAGTTAGTAGAAAGTAAAGAAACAAGTCTTTCCAGTCCCCCAATGGAAGGCCCCACAACAGCCATCTGTGTGAGAGGAGCACCCTCTGCTGGACATGCAAGATACAGCAAGATACAGCCACTAGGTAGGTGGCCCCACCTCAGGGCTATGTTGACACAGGGAAAGCAATCTATCCACGGCTTAATGTCTGCCCACAAAACTAGTGTTGGGTTAACCAATCAGTGTCCTGTCAAATGAGTTTTAAAAGGAGACTGAAACCACCTAGGTTGGGACAGGCAGGGAAGGTGTGTGAGTGGAGGGAATGTAGACTTGAAAGGTGAAGTTCCAGGCCGTTACAGGCCGGGGCCAACCCAAAGCAATGGGCGTTAGGAGGAACACAGGAACAGCAGCAGCAGGCTACATGCTGGAGAAGTGAGACTTCTACCTGATGGCGCTGACAATATTCCAGTCTTCGAATTTCTGCTCCCGAACCCATATATATAAAACTAGTCAGAGTGGAGGTGGCCTGGCCAAGAAGAGGGAAAAAGTCACTGCAGTTGCTTCTGGAATATCTCTGAGCAGCAGAGGGAACTAGGTTCCAAACATGAAGTTTGGGCAATCGATGGCCCGAGGCTTTCAGTGCATGTGACAGGACAGGCAGCGTCTAACAAGGATGGAGAGCAGAGCCTGAGAGCTCAGGAGAGAACGGAAATGGGAACGAGGTGCTGAAACCCTTTGCCCTTTGCCAGACCACTTTCCTACTGCAGGGTTTCATGGGCCATTGGGGTGTGGGATCGAAATGTTCCATTCACAGTGCCCGCTCCCTGTCTTCTCACACTGCTGATCTTGCACTAGTCAGTCTCCTGTGTGCCCCACCCACCAGCACACAGACCATTGCCTTCTTGCACACCAAGGTTAAGGGAAGGAGCAGCCTATGCACTGCAGCAGTGGGCTGGCCCAGGAGAACTGACTCCCTAGTGCCCGAAGTCACCACACTCGCTTTGAGAGAGGATACTCACCCCAGGGATGTCCAAGAGCTTTGACACCAGAAGAGGCAGCTTCAGGGCAGCAACACTTCCAGTGACACCCACAAGAACATGGAACTTTCTCTCGGTTGAGGGTATGGCAACTGGGCACGGGGCCCTTGGTTCCATGTGGGGTCTGGTGGTTTTCCAGGAGTCTAGAAAGCCTGGGTTTAGACTCTAAAAAAGAACAAAGAGCATCCTCTGAGAATGATGGTCAAGTCAGGCCTCCTCTCCATATGATGCTGTAAGCACAGCATGTGCCATGGCTGCCCAGTGACTGTCCCAGAGACCCATGTTATATAAAGATGCCATTCAGGCCAAGTCCTGAAGGGTGAGCACTTTTTCAGACAGGAGGAAGTTACTCCAAAAGGAGTAAGCCTGCCAAGTGAAGAGGTCTGAAGGAGAATGTTGGGTCTGGGGAACAAGGTACAGGTTAAGAGAGAAGCTGAAGACCCAAGAGGGAGTTAGGAAGAGCCAGTCGGGCTGCACGATCAGAATGTCAAGGGTGGTGAGAGCCTGGCGCTTTGATATGAGAAAGATAATGCTGGAGCTAGCAATGTGTGCAGGGGCCATGGCTAGTGGTGAAGACCGAGGGAGTTCCTACAGTGGGTCTGGCCGGCTCGTGAAGAGAATGGAAAGAGAGAATGAGGTCCAAAGATGCTGATGAAGTGGAACCATAGGCAAGAAGGGTGCTGCTGTGGCCAAGAGACTTGCCTCTGGAACTGTTCCCTCTGTGGACCAGGCTGAGCATCAAACTACAGGTTGATTTCCAAGAGTCAAACGCAAAGCAGTAGACCACTTGAAAGGAGCAGCTGGTTGCGTTCTTCCTCCGGCAAGGGCTCTTGATGCTGGGCTGATGCATACACCAAAACCTCTACTCTGGCAGCTGGGCCAGCACACCTCCCTACATCAGCCATAGTCACTGAGGACTGAACTCTGGGCAAAGAACTGTGGAGGGTAGCTGCCTTTAGAGACTCTGGAAATGAGTCTGAGATGACCCTTTTCTAGAATGAACCTATCCAATGATTTCTCACTCAATTCATCAGTTTCCTTTGCCTCTTCCCCTACCAGCAATTTTCCTAAACATCACCAACCACCACTCCCCTCTCTTTCACAGTCCTGAATATCTGCTGAATAAATAAATTACATACAGAAAACTGTCTTGTGAGGCAGGACTCCTAGGTCCTGTCCAAGATAGTACTCCTGACTGGTGTTATCACCTTGGGTCAGAGTCATTCTCTCCCCAAAATTCTTTGTTCATGTGGGGAAAAAAAAATAGAGATAGAATAGCTGATTTCTGAAGCTTCCTCCAGTACAACATCAGTCAATGCAAAAGACAGAGGTAAGTGGCCTTTTTTGTTTTGTTTTTTTGAGACAGGGATTCTCTGTGGCTTTGGAGTCTGTCCTGGAACTAGCTCTTGTAGACCAGGCTGACCTTGAATAATCCACCTGCCTCTGCTTCCCAAGTGCTAGGATTAAAGGCGTTCACCACTACTGCCTGGCATAAGTGGCCCTTTCTACAAGACAGAAAATCCTAGAAGATACACTCTAAAAGGCCATGATTGCCATGAAAGAACCCAGTAGCTCCAGCTCCCCCCAAGCCTGGATACCCACAGGAGCCTCTGTTTGGCATTTGCCTGTAACATTTAGACATAGGCTCCTAAGAGCTGAGGGGACACTGGTTACCCATCTAGAAGCGATTAAGCACAGACTGGTTCCCTGGCACAATTCCCACTCCTACTTAAGTTCAACTTGGCAGCATTCTTTAAAGATTAACTTTACTTTGTACATTGACTGTTTATGCGTATAGGTGTTTTGACTGCATGTATGTCTGAGCATCAGTTGTGCACAGCCCACAGAGGCCAGAAGAGGATGTCAGATCCCCTGGAATTGTGGTTACAGTTGGATATGAGCTGCCATGTGGGTCTAGGGAATGGAACCCAGGTCCTCTGCAAGAAAAGCATGTACTCTCTTAAACACTGAGAGTTCTCTTTTACCCCACCCCCAACACTTTGAATCTTTCTGTAATTTGGAGCCTCAACCAGGACCAGGCTTGCTAGAGAAATGAGTTCACCAGAAAGTCTGGGGAGCACTATTAACAACTGACAAAGTCCATGGAACCTAGTAACCAGCTTCCCAGAGCACATCACCAGCAGGTGAGAGACACATTTGGGTTTTTGTTGTCACTGTTTAATTATTTTAATCATGTGTACCCATGTGACTGTGTGTACTTGAGTGCAGATGCTCTCAGAGGCCAAAGGCATCCAATCACCTTGGAGTTGGAGTTTGGGGCAGTTGTGAGCTGCCCGACATGGGTGTGCACACAGGTGATAGGAATGGAACTCGGGTCCTGTACATGCTCTTAACCACTAAACCACCTCTCCAGTTCCATGAGAAGCACATTCTTGATTCTTCAGCAGAACTTCCCTGTCAGTCATCAATGTTCCCTTTAAACCTCCAGAGTCAAACTTGAGTTTCTCTAGGTGTCCTTGAACTCAGGGTTAATTTTTTTTTCCACTCCTCACAGACCGAAGTGCAGGAACAGGGAGACGCCTATATTCCCAATGTGCTGTCTCCAGCTTATTGCTAGACCAGTCTTTACTTTAAGCAGCATATGCATTGTTTTCCTACTCTTACTTGACCATAAAATTTACTTTTATGTATATTCAAGAAAAAGTGAATTGTGATGGCACCTGCCTTTAATCCCAGCACTTGTGAACAAGTAGGCAGATTTCCATGAGTTCAAGATGAGTGTGGTCAACATAGTGAGTCCTGGGCTAGCTAGGGATATACAGAAGAGACTTTGTCTTGAAGGAAAATTTAACAAAAAAAAAAAGGATGGGGGGAAGAGAGATTTTAAGACAATGAGACCACACACACACACACACACACACACACACACAGAGAGAGAGAGAGAGAGAGAGAGAGAGAGAGAGAGAGAGAGAGAGAGAGAGAGGACCTCAGTGTGTTACATGTAAGTCTTCTCTCCATTTAATCAAGGTCAATGTTTAAAGTTTCAGTTTCATGGTATCTGCCAGTAACAAAATGGGCAAGAATGTAGCCAGGAAAACGTCACCACCCTACACCAAAACCCATACTGTCCGGCACCTAAAGCCCTTTCATGGTGTTAGGAAAAGCAAGGAATGCTTGTTCATTCAAAAGGCTTGGCATTCTCATGGACTTCCCTCACACCTGAAGCAGGCATGTTTGGCTCTAAAGCTCTTGCAGTTAGTTTGGGTACCTCTTGAGGATAAAGGGAGCAACTCCACCCCCACCCCCAGTTTCCAAGCACCCACCACTTCCTGAGGCTCTCTCCCGCCCATTAGATAGTTCTGGCTTCCAATATTTAATCAGGAAAAATTTTTCAGACAAAAAAAAAAAAAAAAACCTGCCCTCATTCTAATGTTTAAATGCCACTCCGCACGTTTAGGGATTAAGCAACTAAACACTCCCAGGGTTTTCTTTCTCTATTTTACTAATTTAAAATAGTTTGAGGCAAGTTGGCTCAGTAAGGTAGCTTGCAGACAAGCCTGGGATCCTGAATGAGCGACAGGACTTTACATGGTTGAACCGAACCCCTCAGGCTGTTCTACGATCTCCACACGCACGCCGTGACAGCACCCCATCCAAAATAAATGTGACTTTTTTCAGAAGAAAGTTGTCAATTCGGGACGCTCCTGGATCTCTTTGGACGCTTATGCTGCCGTTTTTCAAAGGTAAGCGTTAAGTGTGGGTGTCCTGATTGCGCCCCCTTTAAAGCGATTCAACAAGTCTTTTCAAGGATAGAGCATGTCAGCGGGCACAGGTGCAGCTGCTATTCCCAAACCCTGAGCGCGAGATCACACCCGTGGCCCAACATCACACACATAGTAACACATCGACCCTCGCTCGGACCCAGAGCCAGAGGAGGGTCTCCCACCGCCACACCACGCCGAACCCAGGCTTTCCAGCCCCTTCCACCGCTCACCCGCGCCAGCTGTCCCAAGTATCGCGCTATCTAGGCACCCTTACCTTCCGAGTCTAAAGGGCATGCGATAAAGCTACGTAATCGCATGGCCTTCTGGGAGTCGTAGTCTACCTCTCTGCCTTCTGGGAGTTGTAGTCACTGGAGCGCACTCCAGACCCGACATAATTGTGTAATTCTCCCAACTACGCCGCACACCTGTTCAGAACTCAGGCACTTAGTACTATTTACTACACCTGTTCCAAAATGTCACTCGGCTCTTGAGACAAACAGGAATACAGAAAATTAGAGGCTATAAATGAGGAAGCTGCACGATCTAAGCCACAACTCTAAGCAGGAAAGCCTTGTCATTGACGGGAGTCATGTCCAGAATTTTTTTTTTTCTAAACTTTGTATGATCTGGAACTCAAAAATCTGCCTGCCTCTGCAATACTGGTATCAAAGGAGTGTGCCAGGGCACCCATGGCTACTTGAAAGTTATCCTGAGGAGTGACCAGCACAGAGGCTCTGGACAGCATTCTTAGTGGGCACACTTTTGGCAAAGACTCGGCATATTGGAATAGTTGTCATCACCTTGCAGCAATCACAGGTCTCAAGTGACCCACCATGGGAGCTGAGAAAGGGCCTGTGTTCCAGGCCTACCGTTGCTAGAGGTAAACCATGAGGACCCTCACTCATTGTTACAGACAATTTTATTCCTTCTTAACTGGTAGTTGTGGGATTTACTTCGTGGCCTACTCAAGGCTGCTTTAGGAAAAGGATCACAGAATTCCAGGCCACAGATCCACTCAATCAAACCCTATACCCCTGCCCCACATTCCACATCAAGGCTTCATTAGGACCCACATGAAGACAAGTAACACAGCAGAATAAACAGGGTCAAATGATCCCTTTTATTATGGTTCATCCAGTTACCACAGATAGACACATTGGCTCAGGCAGGTCAACTGCCAGCTAGGGAACAGTTTGTGTCTTTCAGAAACAAGGGGCAGTGGGCACCAGGAGAATGCAAAAGCAGGTCACTGGCTTGCAGCACACAGGAGGATCCCCAGAACCAACTGGGCCTCCTCCCACCCCCAAACTAAACCATCTGTGCCCAGCCCCCTTTCTCATCCTGGTTCCCTTCTCATGAAAGTGCATAGTTGCCTGGAGATGCAGCATTCCAGGGTCTGAGCAGCTAGGCCAGACACTGGTAACAGGCTTTCCCAAGGGCAGCGCCAGGCACGGCCAATAGGTCTGAGCCAGGAAAGAGGAAAGGCAGATAGGACAGGAAATTGAGTGGAAGTAACATCCAACAGCTAGTGGATGCTAGATTGGCAGCTGGATCATAGCCCTCCTGGAACTTCCAGAGGACCAGGAGAAAGGGAACCAGAAGTCTGGGGTCAGGAGAAGGGAAGAGGGAAGGCATAGCCCTAGGGGTCTCTTAGAGTACCAGGGGTTATGACAACTGCTCCCCAGAGAGAAAACAGTAGGGAGAGAATCAACTAAGCCTAAGGGGTCATTAGGAGGGGAACTTTCTAGAGACTCTTGGCTTCCCATACAAAGAAGAAGCTAAAAATCAAAGCTCAAGGTGACCTGAAACCAGGTCTTAGGTCCTACAGCCTGGAATGACCAAGTAGGGTCTGGCTCTCCAATCTACCTAGCCCAGGTGAGTTTCTGTTGGAAGGAGGTGAGAAACAGGCAGCTGCTCCTTGGCAAGGCCTACCCACCTCAGGCCTCACACACAGCCAGATCCTCAACCAGGCAATGTCCACCCATTGCTTAGAAGAGACAGTCCTGGGGACTGAGATCAGTCATAAAGGGGAGGAGGGTTCTAACAGAACTAAGAAAAGGCCAGGAACCAAGTCCTGTAGTTAGTTCTCAAGAGAATGGAAGAGAAGGAGGGAGGGGCAAAGCCCACTAAACTGAAAACTAAAGGCAGAGTCCTCCTTCCCTCCCTGTCAGCCAGGAACCCTGCTCAGGACATTGTGCTTGCAGCTTCAACTGGGCCTGGGAGCATCCACAGAATCTGTCCTGTAGCCAAGGGCAAGTGGGACTGGAGAGGTATGCTATCCTCTCAGTGAGCTTCTATTTTCTTCTCTTTGACAACCCCCACCCCCCAAGACCTGGCCCTCTAAGCTCTACCCTTTCTGCCATACTCAAACAGAACAGCTACTTCTCCCAGGATTCCATGCCCTCTGTTCCAGCAGTGGTTTACTGCTAACAAGTCACAACCCAGCTCCACAGGAAATGCAGAGTGGCTAAAGGAGGATCAGGAAGGAATGGAGAAGGGACAGAGGAAGCCTGCCTCTGCAGGCCAGGCTTTCACAACCAAGGAAAAAGGCCTGCATTTCCATTTCCTGGGTGTCAAGTGCCAAACAGGCTCTCCATCTCCAACCAGTGTGCCCTTCCACATCAGGGCTGGCTCATCTCTCATGTCAGCTTCCTTGAACTGGGGAGCAGATTGGAATTGGGGATCTGGACAGTCTTGGAAGCAGACACAACTGGGACACTCAGCCTTAGGAAGACAAAGAAAAGCTCCATGGGGAGGAGAAAGATCCTGGAAGGGCCAGCAGGGAGGAGAGCACAAAGAGTCTAAGAGTGAGGCAGAAACAAGGGGAAAAAAGAGATTGGGGGGGGGGGGCTACTGGGAGCAAGAAAACATCCTCTCCTTCCCACGCTCCAGAACATACTTATCACCATGAATGCAAAATACTGTTGCTTCCCAATAGGACCAAAGGGGGAAATAGCTTCGGCTCATAACTCTGCACAGAGTGCCAGGCTCTCTGCTAGGCCTTCCCCTGCCCCATGAGGAATCCCTGGGCCAGGGTCAGAGGGGCAACCTGGTGGATGGGTTGGAAGGGAGCTGGTTTAGTTCTAAACATACATCTAGCACCACAACAAGATATCTCCACTGCACATTATTTCACAAGGGGACATGAACTCAGCTACCAGTGCACAGGACCTCTCCTTGTGCAGCCCACAGCTCTCGGAGTGCCAAGAGCAGGACCCAAAAGGTGGGGGTAGGGGATAGACATATACATATATACACACACACACATATATATATATAACTCTGATTCTTTGTACAAAGTTGGGGAGGAGAAACGGGAAGGGGAAACCCTGCTTGGTCACCACACAGATGATGTGGCTTGAGCCCCCTGTCCCACTGGCCCCCAGCCCTGCCTCCTGGTAGGCTTGGCTGGTTCACATCTCATTAGAGTATGTGTAGTTGGGGGTAGCAGAATATTGAGTCTGCGGTTGATTCATGGCACCCTGTGCAGCCCCCATGGCTGCATTCTGGGCTGCCTGTTGCACATGTGGGTTCTTCCACGCTCCAGTGGTCCATTCCTCCTGAGCTTTGCTGAAACTTCCCCCACTGCCCCGGTAGAACTTATGAACCTGTAGGAACAAAAGCATAAGGAAGGGATAGTTAAAGAGGAGAGCAAACAAGGTGTTACTGCATGCCTGCAATCCCCAAAGAGGAGAATCCTGTTTCAAGAGGCTGTCTAAAAAATAAAAACAAAACAGCCAGGATAGTGGCACACGCCTGTAACCCAAGTCTTGGGAGACAGTAGTGGGAAGGTCAGGAGCCCATGGTTATTCTTCGTTATTCTTCAATACATCTTGAGTTTGGGGCCAACCTGGATTTCATAGATCCCTATCTCAAAAAACAAATACATAATTAATTAAAGCCGAGCATGGTGGCACAGATCTTTAATCCCAGCACTCAGGAGGCAGAGACCAGCAGATCTCTGAGTTCAAGCCCTTCCTGGTCTACAGAGTAAGTTCCAGGACAGCCAGGGCTACAAAAAAATATCCTGTCTCAAAAAGCCAAAAATAAATATATTTTTTAAATGGAGTAGACAGCCATTCAGGAAACAGATGGCATCCTTCTATGAAAAAATAGTCCCCAGAGTATAAGTAAGTCAAAAGACTTCTGGGTCAAGTGTGTGTGTGTGTGTGTGTGTGTGTGTGTGTGTGTGTGTGTGTGTGTGTGTGTGTGTGTTCATGTGACTTCAGGTGTCAGAGGATAACCTCCAATGTCAGTTCTTGCCTTCCACCTAGTTTGAGACAGGTTTCTTGTTGTATTATCACTGAATGCATCAGGCTAGCTGGCCCACAAGGTCTCTTGTCTCCATTCCCCATCTTGCCATAGGAGCACTGGGATTACAGATGCTTATAGTGCCTGGCTTTACATGGGTTCCTGGTATTCACACTCAGATCCTCACAATGGTATGCAAGTGTTTTTTTACCCAGTGAGGTGTCTCCCCAGAACCCACCTGTATGTTGTATGCAAATGCAGGAGGGGGTGCACTTGCCTGTGCATGTACATGTGGAGGTCAGAGGTCAACTTCAGCTCCCTTCTTGTATTGTTCTCCACCTCATATTTGGAGGATGAGCCTCTCTCCAAATCTGAAGCTTGCCACTTTAGCTAGACCGGCTAGGTCTGGAATCTGCCTATTTCTGCTCTGCTCCCAACTCTACAGTTGCAGCCATTTGCCCCTATGTCAGGCTGTAGATTCTGGGGAATCTAAACTCAAGTCCTCTTGCTTATGCTGCCAGCATTTTCCCCACTGGCTCCCCAACCTCCTGGGTCCTCTTTTTGTCTTCTCTTCTTTTTTTTTTTTTTTTTTTTTTTTTTTGTTTGTTTGTTTGTTGTTTTTTGTTTTCGAAACAGGGTTTCTCTGTATAACAGCTCTGGCTGTCCTAGAACTTGCTTTATAGACCAGACTGGCATCAAAGTCACAGAGATCCGCCTGCCTCTGCCTCCGCTACCACCACCACCCAGCACCTGAATCCTCTTGTAACTTGGATGAAGGGTGGTTTCGGGTCACAGAGCCCTCCCAAAGCCGCCCCCTCACCCTTGAGGTTTACACATACCATGCTAAGGGCGATGAAGGAAAAGACGGCCACAACCGTAAACATGATTGTGGGGATGAGCATCACCACCGCTGAGCCAATATTTGTCCCGAAGAAGGAAATGGTGGCGATCCAGCCACTGTAGGAAGAAACCAGCTGTGGGTCTATGGATGAAGGAAAAGGGGACCCAGGAGCCACCCCTTTGATTATCTCTTCACCACTAGCCAGAGGGACCATATTTCTGATACTCCTTAGCCTATGCCCCCAGAGCTCCTGAGCCAGAAGGCTTTTCCTCCCCAGCTTTCACACAAAGTCTGACTCTCCTTGGCCACCCAGACACTGCTTCCCAGTTCTCCTCCCCCACTAATCCTATAGTGAACACTACTCCACTACTCCAAAACCCCTCATTCTATACCCATAATAAGCCACTTGGTGTCCTTAAAAGCAAATCATCTTAGTACAGAGGTAAGCGGTAAGCAAACAACCCAAATGCTACTCCTACTAGCCCCAGATTAGCTCTTTGCCTCTTACCAGACACCCCAGCCTGGAATTCCCACAGCCTGGATGATGCTGATGACCAACTGGGCCATAAAAGTGAAAAAGAAGGCCATGAAGCTGAAGGAGCTGTCTGTCCTGTGGCAGAGAAGATGGTATGTCACCTGGGCAGGAGCACTGGTCACCCCTGAACTCATGAACCCAAAGCTCCTCGGGGCATAAGTGACATGGATATTAAAGGCTTTAAAAGAGTCTAAATAGGATGGCCTTCATTCATAGACCTTTAAAGGTTTGGGGGAGTTATGCCTATGTACAAGAAAGGGATGTCCTCATGAAAGGACCACCCATGACACATGGATCAATGGTCCTATTGGCATAGAGATAGATGGTTCCATTGTGGGAAAAGTAAACAGCTCCATTATCAAGGGACTAGAACAGGGATGGATGGCTCTATAGATATAGGAAATCTCAGTGCTACTAATATAGATACCTGGTTGGCACTACAACATTAGTTAATTGGCACAAAATGGTTAGTCCTATTGACAAAGAGATTTAAGACTCCATTGGAACTGAAATGTATATTCTGCTGGCATCAAGACAGTCTTGTTGCTATGTGTAGCCCTAATAGTATAAAGATTGAAAATCCCAGTTGGCACTAGGTGGACACTCACTGGCACCAAGACAGCTAGCCCCATCAATACATAGATAGGTATTCGCTTTGGCACAGAATTAGATGACATCATTGGACATGAATAGTGTCAGTGGTTCTTGGATGGCTCGTTCCAGTGACACATGAATGAATAAAGGGTCATCTTGTTACCAAATCAGTCATTCCCCATTGGTACACGGATGGACAGCTCCACCAAGACACACCCATAGGCAAAATTGGACAAGCAGGATAGACTGAAAGGGAAGGAAATAAGGGTCCCACTCCCAACCCTTTCAACCCAGCCTAGAATTCCCAGGAAGCCTAAGCCCCACCTGACAGTACAGTTAAAGGTGAACAAGGAAAACTGCAGGCAGACTTTGGGAGATAGCAAACAGAGGGAAGTAGGGGTAGCAGCTGGGGTCAGCACCAACCACTTACTTGAAGGCCTTGTAAATGGGCCGAAACCAGCAGACGTAGGAGCAAGGTGTGAAGAGGATGAGCCAGAGAAAGGCGAGGCCAAAGTTGGTGGCTCCCCCGCCTCCGATCAGCCACGCGAGACAGCCCACCAGGTTCACGGCCAGCGTGACGCTGTTCACTGCAGACCCAGGAGCACATGCACACACAGAAATAGACACCAGATACACACACACAGACACCAAAGTCCATACAGAGATGTGAGAATCCAAACATGGAGGCACACACCCAGGATTCCATATAGACTCACAAGCAAATACATGGCAACAACACAAACAGGCAGCAAGACATAGACATACACATACAAGTGCAAACACATACACACACAGATCACCCACAGGCCATACCAATGAATACACAAACACACACACACACACACACACACACACACACACACACACAGAGTACAGACTGTAAGGAAGAAAGCTGGGAGCTTGGGTCTACCCTTCCCCAAATCCACCCCTAGGGATCTGAGAAATCCCAACAACCAAGAGTCTCTACAGCAAGAGCCCAGAGCTTCTGTCCAGAAAGCCCTGGAAGTATCTCATAGCCTCAGGGTTTTTTCCTTGTAAGAAAAGCCTCTGGGTGAGGGTGGAGGTGGCTCAGTGTTAGAATTGAGCTTAGCATGCAAGAGGCTGGGATCCATCGCCAAGACTAGGACTCAGTCCTTGGTCCTCCCAGGCCCACAGCAATCACCAATTACCAAGCCATCTTATATATTTTCTTACAAAGTAGGGACATAAAAGCAGCAAAGAAAAAGACATTCTGGAAGCCTCTCTTCAAACCACTGGACCACCTGTCTGGCTCATGAAAGGGGGCAGACAATGGAGCTGGGAGCTCTGTCCTTATCTAATCCATTTCTCAGACTACCTTTGTTCTTCTTTCTCCAAGATATCTTCCTAATCTATCTCACTTTCCTCTGACCTGCAGATCTGGGCTGCTGTGCAGTTCCCAAATGTAATTCCAGTCCATCATCGGACTAGAAGTTCCTCAGTGGTGAGGTCCAGACTCCTCTCCCTCTTTCTCACCTCACCTAGAAGATCCTAGGACTCACATCACTGAGTCACAGCTGGCAGAGATCTAAGGACTCTTCATTTTACAGATTAAAAAACAGACACTGGCACTAACACACACCTATATCTTCAGACCCCTGGCAAATCCCTTCCATGAATATCAAGCTGAGTCCCCAAAGACCTGCTGAGTTAACAAAGGAAGGTGGGCTCAATCTTGCCTTCAAGAAGTTGAGCTCCTAATCTCATCTTCTCCATCAATCTCAAGGCTTAGATACATTGTTTCCGGACCAAAGCACCTGACAGGCACCTAGTAAGGAGTTAAGGAGGTTATTTATAGCCCTTAAATCCAGCTTCTGGGCCAGATCTTCTCATAAGGCGGAGTTCCAGAAGCCTAGAGCCTGGCAGAATGCTCCCCTAAGCCGGACCTGGCCTGATAACTATGTCACCTGTACAGGTACGCCCATCTCAGCCTCCCATGCCCCATAACAAATATGGATACTTCTTGTATATTTCAGGCATTTCCTTCCATTCCTGTTCATTGCTTCAAAGTTTGCTAGAGCTGTGTTGTTCTTATTGATTGTTCTTTAAAAATATGTCCCTACCTCTCTCTCATATGGGGTGAGTGTGTGTGTCTTTGCCATAGTGTACATGTGAAAGTCAAAGGACAATTTGCAACCCGAACCCCAGGTCGGTTCTCTCCTTCCACTATGTGGCTCTAGGGATCAAACTCAGGTTGTTAAGACTTCATGGCAAGCCCCTTTAACCTACTGAACTATCTTGTTGGCCTATATTTCCTTTACTCACAGAAAAGTCACTACCCATTATCATATTGGCTAGCATCACTCTTCCCAGGCCCAGCCATCTCTAGCTCACTTGCTCTAGTGTTTACATTGCAATTCTCCTTTCTGTCTTTGGAATGGACAGCCCTGACTCAGCCAGTACCTCTCTAGCCATGAGGCAGTCTCTGCCTTTACTCTTCTCTCTGTCCAGCTCAAAGTCTGCAGTTCTTTGTTACACTCTTTCTTTCTTCATTTTTATGGTATGAGCACAGTCATGGCCTAAAAGTTACTATGCAGATCAGACTGGCCTCAAACTCACAGAGATCCATGTGCCTCTGCCTGCTAGGTACTGGAATTAAAGGTATGCATTGACCCAGAATGACCATAACACACATCTTTGCCTGAACTGAATGTCCCTAAGGAAAAAAGGCTGCAGGAAACTATGAATTTGTGACAACCAACCTCAGATGATCCTGTGCATGCCCCAGAGATCTTGGAGGTTGATTTTCACATCCTTGCCTTTTGCTATGAACATAGGCACCCACCTTCCCCAAAAGCCCCACCCTTGGTCCATATATATTCATTCTTTACTTAACCTTTATTTTCTATTATTTATGTGTATGAATGTTCTGCCTGCATGAGTATCTGTGTACCATATGCATGTAGGGCCTGTGAAGGCCAGAAGAGGGGTTGGAACTGGAGTTACAGACAACCGTGAGCCTCCATGTGGGTCCTGGGAATTGAACCCAGGTCCTCAGGAAGAGTAACCACTGAGCATCACTCCAGCCCCTTCCTCCTTATTTAATGGGAAAAAAACAGAAGCCATCAAGGGCAATCTTGCTTTCCTTCCAACATCTACAGGCTATTCAAATCTGTCCAACTCCTCCTCTTCTCATGTTACAGAGCAGGAGACCTTTCTCTGCCCATAAGCCAAGGCAAAGCAGGTCCTAGAACAGTCTGTGAGCCTGACCCTCTGCTACTGCTACTGCTACTGTCCCATGAAGATTCTGTTGTAAAGATGGTGATTTCTGTTTGCTTTTTACTCTCTCTCTCTCTCTCTCTCTCTCTCTCTCTCTCTCTCTCTCTGTGTGTGTGTGTGTGGTGATGTGTCTGAATCTGAGTCTCTGTGTCTGTATGTGTGGTAAGTGTGGTGTATGTATGGTGTGCGTGTGTGGTGTGTGTGTGGTATATGAAGTGTGTGTATGTGTGCAGTGTGTCTGTGTCTAAGTGTGTGTGTGTGTGTGTGTGTGTGTGTGTGTGTGTGTGGTATGTCTGTGTCTATGTTTGCCATAGTGTACAAAGACAACACGGTGCGCTATGACAACCTCCAGGAGCCATTCTTTCCATCTACCTTGTTAAGGAAGGGTTTCTCTTTTTTTGTACTTTGTACTCCAAACTCAGTCAGCCTTCCTAGCTCTCAGGGGTTTGTCTCCTGTCTGTGCTTCCCATCTCAACCTGTAATGGAACTACATCCAAATTTTTACACAGGTTCCAGGGATTGAACTCAGGTAAGCGGGCTTAGGCAAGCTTGTTCACTCCACTTTTATGAACTGAGATACCGCACTAGCCCAAAACAGTATTCTTTCCTTCCTTCTTGACACAGCTGAGTGCAGGCCTGAGCCAAGGCACTGTCACCTGTAACAGATGCCCTAAAGTCATACCACAGCCTCCCCTCCGTGCCTAAGCACGGTAGTCTTCTCACTACCAGGAGCCAAGTCAAGTCCCTACACCTCCTGATGACACCACTCCACTAACCTGCACAGAGCACCAGGAACAGGAACCTCTAAATTCTCATCCTTAAACCCTTAGAACACCGGGCCCCTGAATCATACAGCTACCTGGAACTGCAGCTCTCAGTGAGCCATACTGTCTTTCTACAACAGAGAACCTACTGTTTGGGAACTAGAGCAGACAAACTGGACCTCATGTCTCCTAACTCCCAATTGAATGCTCTTCTCTTTGAGCAAGACATCAGGAAACATGAGGCTGTAAAGGAAGGATTCTTCTCACAAATCCAGAGTCTTGGCAGTCACCACGGGTTCCCTAGAAAAGTACACCAGTGGTAGAGAAGCAAAAAGACAAATAACACCGCAAATAGGAACCCTGCTCAGAGGCTCTGTGAAGAGAGAGATCAAGGAGGGGTAGAAGAGAGGCCTATGGGAAAGAAGCTGGGGCCCAGCTATGGAACTGGCCAGTGGAAGTGAACTTGCCCAGGACCAGGCGACCAGCAGGGGAAAGACTTCCCAGGCCATGCAGATGCTACAGTTGAAAAGCAGGATGCACAAGCACCCCTCCCCACGGCCAGCACCTCTCCCTCATCCCCACAGTACTCACACATCCAGAGGTAGTAGAGGCGCTTGGTCAAGCTGAGATGCTGAGGAGGGATGTCTGCCTCGAAGTCTTGGTAGAAACACGGCTTCAGTGGGATGAATTTGGGCAATGGTGGGAAGTTGTTCACTTTTTCTGTGGGTAAGACACACTGCAAGACATCACCTTGGATATCTCTCCTGACCTCCCTTCTTGGTCCTATAGGTCCTATATGTTCCTACCACCACCACCCAGGCAAGGCTGCCTTTAGATCCTATATACTCCTGGCCCTGTGCCCTGGCCGCTTTGCTATCCCAACCCAACTGTCTCTATTTCCTGAATCTGCCAAGACAATCCCAAAGTAATCGAAGATGCTAGAATAGCATCTCTCAAAGGAACACAAAAGTCATAAAAGCTGCCTTCAGGGTGAGGTGCTCTCCACAATAGTGAGAGTGAGTTCGGGGCATGGGTGAGGGTCTGCAGATGTGGGTCCTGGATTCTACTCTATCATTAGTCACTCAATTCACTGGCCCTCTCTAGACCTCAGTTGTTCAGTGGAGTGGAATCTGGGCTACGTGGACCTTAAAGTTCCCTTCAGCTTTGGCAACGTGTACCTCTGGGCCTTTAGAAACCAGAGGAAAAAGTCTGAGTACAGTGGTAACACCAGGGACATGGACAGGTCATCCATGCTGCTACTTTGTCAGCAGGTCCCCAGGCTCAAAATCTGACATAGGACTGGATGGTGCTATGAAGTCCTCAGATAGACAAGTCACAATGGGGGTGGAGTCGGGTAAGAAATCAGGAGACAAGAATGCATACAGAAAGAGCAAGACTTCTGACAAGGGCCGACTGCTTTGTGCTTTTTTTCATGTCTACCCTGACGTGGCCCACTTCTCCTTACCCGCCATGATGGACCAGCCAGCCCAGAAGTCTGCTCACACTCCTTGTGCTGAACTGGAAGGAAAGAAAAACTAGATGAGAATGAGGATCAGAACACGGTGTACCTCAGCTCCCCTCTACACTCTGGCCGCGTTTCACACTCTCTGAGACACAACAAACTCCTGTTCCCACTGTGGAATGAACCCAAACGGAGCAGCTCTTCACCTGGAGGAGTCAACACAGCATCATCCACACCCTTCTAGCTATTTCCACCATGCTAGTTAGTTTTAAATGTCAACCTATCACACCTGGGAAGACAGCTTCAATTGAGAAGTTGCCTAGGTCAAGTTGGATCTACGGGTGTGTCTGTGGGGGACTGTCTGACTGTTAATGTGGGAAGATCCAGGACATTGTTGGAGGCAGCATTCCCTGGGTAGGTGATCCTGGATTGTATAAGTGAAGAAAACTCACTGAATACAAACTAGTAAGCAAGCAGTATCTATGTGCCTCCTTCTCTCTGGCTATGGATGTTTAAGCCCTTAGTGATGGACTATAGCCTGGAACTATAAGCATCATAAATTCTTCCCTACCTTAAGTCACTTTTGGCCCGTGTGGTTTGTTTCATTGTTTTGTTTTGAGAAAAGGTTTCACTATGCAGCCCTACCTGACCTGGTATCCCCTGTGTAGACTAGTCTGGTCTACAACTCATAGAGATGCACCTGCCTCTGCCTCCCGGAATACTGAGATTACCGGCATGCACCATCAAACCCAGCTGATCAAGGTGTTGTAACAACATCAGAAATGAAACTAGAACCACCTTTTGCCTCAAGGCACAGTCTATTCACAGAAAAACCAACCCAGGGCTACTGAGGGCTACTCAGCGGGGTAAAAGCTGCACAGATGACTACCTAGATCCCTGGAATCCACAATGGAAGAAGATAACTGACTCCCAAAACTTGTCCTCTGACCACATGTAGCACACACAGTAACAAATAAGTAAACAAAAACAGAAGGAAAACTCACAGAAGGTAGGAAAGGTCATCTCATCCTCTGACCCTCTTAAGCTAAGCTGGCCTCCCTCCTGCCATATGTTCACTTATTAGAACATCATCACCTGCCAGGTACCAAGGAAAGAGACTGAGCAAGATGGACATGGACCATGCCCTGCATACGAAGCAGTCCATAGCCCCTGCAGTCAGTCACACAAGGGAAACAAGCCTGCCATGCTGGTATACACTGGCAGCCCTGGCACTCTGGAGGTGGTACAGGATAATCACAGGCTCAAGGCCAGCCTGGGCCCCAATAGTGAGACTGGGACCCCTAAGGCTATTATGAGGCAAGTTACAAGGGACCTGGAGGAGGATGTGCAGAATAAATGGAAGGAAGCAACCAGGCAGACTCCCAGCCACTTAGACCACTGGGCAAATGATGATGGCCCACAACCAGAAGCATGTGTGAGAAGAGGTAGAGGGTTCGCTCAGGGAGACAAGCTGTGTCATGGGCACCGTGGGAAGATTGCCGGGCAGGACTTCGTGCCAGCATTTGGAGCACACAGGGTCAGAAATTCAGCAGAAGTCTTGCTGGCACATACATTAAGTCATCACTGATGAGATAAGGCTAGGGAAGTCACTGTGCAATCACCGTCTAAAACAATATCCTTAGTGGACATGTATGTGACCAAGACAAGAAAATGGTCAAGGGCAATGGCAATGGAGCATTTGAAGCTTGACTGACATTTATGTAAAGTTTCATTTTATTTTGTTTTTAAACAAAACTAATCTATGATAAAATGAAGACACAGGGCCAGGCGTTGGTGGTGGTGCACGTAATCCCAGCACTTGGGAGGCAGAGGCAGATGGATCTGAGCTCAAGGCCAGCCTGGTCTACAGAGTAAGTTACAAGGCAGCCAGGACTACACAGAGAAACCCTGTCTTAACCCCCTACCCACCCCCAGCAAAAGAAAAAAGAAAAGCAACTGCCACCACCAAGCCTGATTTCTGAGCAAATGTTAAAAATGAATCCATCTGAGTAAAGACACATTGTGCTCTCCAATATCTTTTTAACTTTATACTTTGGTTTAAAAGTTTCCAGATAAAAAGTTAGAGGGAAATATAAATAATGTCAATAATGGATTACAAAACACTGAATGAAAAGGTACACATGCCTTATGTCATCTCAGCACAGCTGAAAGCCAGCTTGGGATACAGGGCTAGATGGGAAGGAAGAAAGGGACCTTGAATAAAGCTCAGTGTTAGATCACATGATTAGAAATGTACAAGGCTTAGACAGCCAAGATGGCTCAGTGGGTAAAGTGTCTGAGACCAAGCCTGCTGACCTGAGTTCAGTCCCTAAGCCCCACACAGTAGGAGAGAATCGACTCCCACAGCTCCTTCTTTAAGTACTCCATGAGGGTCGCATGCCTATGTGCCTCCACACACACTAAATAAATGTAACAATTTTAAAAGGGAGAATAAATGTAACAATTTTAAAAGGGAGTTTGGAAGATGGTGGTTAAGAGTACTGATTTCTCTTGCAGAGAACCCAAGCTTGGGTCCTAGTATAGACATCAAAACTCAAAATGGTTTGTAACTCCAGTTCCCAGGGTTTCAGTGTCCTCCTGTGACCTCCATAGGCACCAGGCAGGCACATGGTACACATACATACATGCAGGCAGATCATCTAGACCCATAAACTAAAACTAAATCTTTCTTTAAAATAAAGAAATTAATGTGCAAGGCCCTGGGTCTAATCATCAGCACCTAAAAAGGGGGGGGGGGCAAAGCCCTTTTTTTTTTTTTTTTTTTTAAAATGTGGATTATTGTATGTGGAGGGTGTTGAATCCCCTGGGACTATAGTTATAGATGGTTGTGAGCTGCCATGCAGATGCTGGAAATCAAACCCACGTCCTCTGGAAGAACAGCCAGCACACTATTACCACCGAGTTACTGCAAAGTTCTTTTGATAAAGTAGAAGGAATGACAGAAGTCTTAAAAATCACCATTCTGGGGCTAGAGATATCACTCGATGGCTTTCTGTGCAAACATGAGACCTGAATCTGAATTCCTGGTGCCTAAATAAAAAGCTGGATATGACTACAGGCATCTGCAACCCATTGCTGTTGGCATCAGAGACTAGGGGATCACTGAGGCTTGCCAGCCCACCTAGCCAAAAACAGTGACCTGCAGGTGAGAAATCTTGTCTCAAGGGAAATGAGGTGATACAGCAGGACACCTGACATTCTCCTCTGACCTCTGCATGAACTCACATGAGCAAGCATTTGTGTGTGTGTGTGTGTGTGTGTGTGTGTGTGTGTGTGTGTGCGTGCACGCGCACACACGTAAAGATACACACCAACATACCACACACATATACAAATCTCTACTCTATAACCCCTACACAACAAGGGGAAAAGGCAGGGATTACTTGGCTACCGAAACCACTGTTGCTGTGGAAAAACAATAGTGTGAGTGTCACATTTCAGAGTGCTTATGAATCTTGAGAGAGAAAAGATATTCCTAAATGAAAGAATCTGGCAGACCAAATGATCAAACTTAGCATTTATGCTAACAGAATAAAAAGGCAATGTGTGCACAGAAGGACACATACTCTTCAGTGTAATGTCATTGCCTCCAAAAGAAAAAAGAAAAGAAAAAAAGTTTAATTTGAGAGTAAGTATGAGCCAAGCATGGTTGAGCATGCCTGTAGTGCCAGCAATAAAGAGACAGAAGCAGTATACTGGATCAGAAGTTCAAGGCCAACCTGAACTACTAAAAGTCCTGTCTCACAAGGAGGCACATGTGGTGTGGTTATTAAAAAAAGGAAGACACTGTTCACAAAAAGACATCTCTCTTAAGGGTCTACTTACATGAGATACTGAGTCAAATCCACAAAAATAGAAAAAAAAATTAAAGAAGGTAATAATCAATGGAGGAAGAAAAACCTAAAAGGAGGAGTTTTTGAGGGACTCTGATGCAAGAAGGTGAGATGAGCCATGAAGTCAACAGGTGGGAAGAAGCAGATGTAGGCAGGTGTGGGGCACTGGAATACAGCAGGAGTCAGCCTCATGTTCCCTGTGATACTGTACAGGCCAAGCTGCAATGAGAGGGAGGAGGCAAGAACAGAGCTCTCAGTTAATGGGCAATTACAACACAACCTAAGTGCTCTGTGACAACAAACACAGAAAGCTATGAGAAACAAGACCCTCCTGGTACCTGCCAGTGCTGCCAACAAGGGCTCCACAGAGGAAGCGATACCAGACCTGAATATGCAAAGACCAAACAGGCATTAGCTGGGCAAAAGGAGTAAAAGAAACAGAGGAGGCCAAAAGAGCAATGAATCCCTACTCAAGGAATACAGAGGCAGACTGAACAGAAAGCTTGAAGTGGAAGAAAGCCTAGGCAAAGGGGTTGCAAGCGGCTGGAGAGAGGGCTCAGTGGTTAAGAGCATGTAGTGCTGTTGAAGAAGACCCACGTTCCATTCCCAGGCATCTCACAAATACCTGGAACTCCAGCTTCAGGAGATCCAACACCTTATTCTGGTCTCCTTGGGGACATGTACCTTCATGCACACATCCATAAACAGACACAAACGTATACATAATTAAAATAGTATTAAAAGATGTGGAGAGGTGAAAAATAAATGGGCTTATCCCTTCCTTGAAGGCCATGGACAGGATCTGGTTTGCTCTTAAAACCATGGGACAACAATGAAGGATTTTGTCTTAATAACATCAAAGAAAACCCTCCGTCTACTTTGGGTTTGTTTTTGTTTGTTTGTTTGGTTGTTTAGTTGGTTGGTTTGACACAGGGCCTCACACTGTATACAAGGCTGGCCCAGAACTGACTATGTATCCTAGGCTAGCATAAAGAAAGCTCGTGACAATCTTGCCTCCATCTTATGTGTGATGAGATAACAGACATTCACCAATAGGCCCAACTCAGACATTGTTTTATACAGCCAAACAAACTATAATTTTTATCATAATAAATAAATAAAGCTTTGAGGGCTGGGGAGATGGCTCAGTGGGTGAAAGCACAAGCCTGCAGACCCAAGT